GTACTTTTCCACTAAATCAAGGCATATCACACTATGCTGCAATTGCAGGAGACTGCCGTTGCACTGCATCTCCCAACCGTGTAAGCGTGTAAGCCGAACAGTGCAGAGAAGCATCATGTGAGCTCAGTCTATACATGCTGGTGAATAAAATGACTAGGAGGACTGGGAGTTTTATTAAGTGTAAATGTGAAGTGTTAGACTGTTAATACAAACTCTTTTCATAACAGTTCAAACTAATTTGTGTGTGTGATCTCATTTGACATTCACAGTCAGTGTATCGCCAACGCTTCATCATGCAACTGTTGCTGTGTTGACAATTTTCATGTGCATATAAAAAGGCCAAAGGCGTTACAATAATCAGATTCATTTGCTCGTAAAGTCTTGCAGGAGTGCAGATGTTTTTCTTACTTTATTATGCTCATTAATACTTGTATGGACTGTGAACACACAGACACTCGGGCTCTTTTGTTTAATTCATTGCTTGTGTTATGTTGCTTACCTTAAGCAAAGTTGACATATTTCTATTCGATCTTTAGAATGGACAAAACAAGCTCTTTGTTTGTGGTTGTAGCTACAGCACTTGCCCTCAAATTTGCCCCACCAGCACCCGCTAATTCATCCCTGTCCCAGAATCATCCCCGGCCCCCACTTACTAGCCTCTGTTCCCACAACAACCAACACCCGGAACATTCATGCTCCACTTTCTGAACCCAATAAAATGCACATACAGAGTCACCCTTTATTGACTGTGTTGTTTACTGATCTTGATGACTAATACCAATGCAAAGTCATTAATTAGTTATAATACATGCATGATGCTGCTGTCGGTGTTTGCAGAGAGATTCGAATGTGGCTGCTGCTCTGAAGCAAAACACACTCACAGTGACAATTCTTAAATATCTAAATGTGTTTTAGTGTGTGATTGTTTAAAGCTCTTGTAGTCATTTTCTAAACGTGTTATTTTATAATCTGAAAGGCTTTTTAGACAGCAACCACATGTCAAAACTTACTGGTACCAACTTTCAGTGATAAATCTCGCAGCACAAATAAATCAATTTCCACTTCACTCTTATCACAGACAACCTCCATCACAATCGCCATTTACCTGCAAGAGATTTCATCATCTGGATGTGATCGCCCCCAGTGTGGCACTCACTCTCCTGTCAGGAGGATCTCAAGGGGAGTAATTTCTTACTCAGTCTCTGATGGAGTCTGCGGGACATGGTAATCTAACTCTATATAAATTGTATCCTCTGACCTTCTACCATTATATCAGATGGAAGTCAAGGAGGCATACCTCTATAGTTGCCTCCCTTTTAGGGCCTTTATATGCATAATTGAACAATGAATAATGTAACTTGTGATAAAATTACAGTATATCTCAGAAGGAGATGGTGTCTACCTGGATGTGCTAAAGTACTTTAAAGTTCCTGATATATTCAATCCGCCATGCATGCCTTTTCACCACCACACCAATCCTTGTAGACAATATTCCTTTATTTCTCATAGTGGTGTTGGTAACATTTACTGCAGAGCATGTCATACTGGAGTTGCAGCAGCAGCAAAACTATGAGCAGGCAATATCCAGACACAAGAGAAGGATAAAATCCTCTGACAAAACTTTAATAATGCAGCTATACACTAAACACAACTCCACTGCCAGGTGAGTGAGACAAAAGCCAATGGTAAGCAAAGCTCTCTTCTCAATTTGTATGAAAATCTGTGCTTATATGGGTGTTGCAGGAAGAGAGACAATTCAAACAAACACTATGATAAGACGATGTAAATCTTTAAGCAGGCATTTTTGCCAAGAGATGTACTGTACTGTAGAATTGAAATTGGACAAAGCATCAGTGAGAGATGTAGCGGAAAATATTAGCTTGTGCAGTATTTGCATGGGCTAATCAACCCATCAACCCACACAAGATATTAGCAATCTAATATTATATAAGATATTGTGACATTGAAGGTATTCGTCAAAGGTAGTCTGATGTGACAGATTGTTCTCACATCAGAGGATGTATAAGATTTTAAAGGGACAGTAAACTATGAAATCAGAAATACATATTATCCTCCAACCTGTAGTGCTATTCATCAACCTAGACTGTTTTGTTGTGAGCTGCCGAGTGTTGGAGATATCAGCTGTAGAGTTGTCTGACTTCTCTCCAGTATAGTGGAACTAGATGGCACTTGGCTTGTGGTGCTCAAAAAGCAAAAAAAAAGAAAGAAATTGATATACTCAACGATGTCCCTTTCCAGAAATCATGACCTGGTTACGGGGTCCAGAGTTCACTTTAGTCATTGGTTCAAAGTCCACATAGTCTAATATATTCACTCATACTTGCATTTTGTCAAGTCATTGAGCTAGTTAGCTGTCTGTGTTAAGAAGCTGTCTGTTATTTATTCACTCTACAGCAGAAAATGGTACCCTGTGCCAGAAATTCAGTGTACTTCAAAATAAAGTGTGTTTTTTTTACAAACCTGACATATTCGCGAGTCAATGCGGTCCATTCAGAATGGACCCCCGACCCACTTTTGGACCACTACCCACCAGTTGGGAACCACTGCTCAAGATAATACACAGACCTAGTTGTGAGCAGCCCTCAGAACTATATTCTTTACCGAATTACACCCACAAACTGTATCACCGTGCAGAATGAAGCATCTATTTATTGTTAGCTCACCTTGCACCAACAAGCTAGCTAACATTACAGCTCAACCGTGGAGGACAGCATATGTAGAAAGAGATCGCACTATAGGGCTGCTGTAAGGTCCCTTCTTCATGCTGCCTTCACAGTTTTACACAACATCAAACAACTGCGGCATCATTCTAATCCTGTGTATGATTTTAGATAGCATGCCGGCATCACAGAAGCAAAAGAGGTGTGACAGGTGTGATATGTAACACAAGAGTGCCCACCTCTGGTGTGACATATAACGTGCTTTGGCAGCATTTTCTTAAAAATAACAATAGCATTAACAATCATTTACTGTCCATGTTATATGGCGGCTGATCTTGTCCTCTGCTCAGAGGAAAAGGAAGTCCTTGACCTCATTGTTTTCCCAGTTTGCAATTTTCAGCTGCTGTTTTTCTATGAGTTAGCTGCTAACTGCTATCAGCTACTTTTAAAATCTCCCTTCTTGGGTGGCACACATAACATGTCAAAACATCACACCTATGTTGCCCATGATCCTATCCTGCCGGCTGTCCCTTTCATACATAAATCATTTTGGGGTTGTTACCACCTGCGATGCTGACTTAAAGGCAAGACAACTCGGCCTCCCCATTTGGCGAATGTACCTTTAATATAGAACGGCAAGGTGGCATAATGGCATCAATTCCCACCTTGAAGAAGTAGTTTAAAAGGGGCTAATTTTAACATGTCATGAGCACAAGCCTCCTTTCCATGAGTAAATCTGTCATTAATTTTCTTGATTCATCTTCAAGTCAAAGAATTCCCAGAACCAAAGTGGCATCTTTAAATTCCTTGTTTCAGCCGACCAATCAATCCAGAGGAAATAAGTTCACTATAATGTATCAAAAATAAAAGCAGCACATCCTTTTTTGAGAACATTTGAGAATCTGGAACCAGATAATGTTTGCTACTGTTTCTAGATTATCAAAATAGTTGTTGATTAATTTCCATTAGTGGCTGTAATTTAAACTGTGGGGCAGTATAGCTTTAAATCCAGGAGTTATCAAATCCAACCATTTCCCCAGCCTGAACATGAATGCCTCTTGGAGATCTTAGTCCACAGAAGATAAACCTCAAAATTCTGTTGTGCGCCACCCCTCTATCTTTCTCTGTCAGACACACATACACAGTGCCACTTGTCTACTCCTCTCATGCAAGGCTCTTCACAGATAAATACCAACCTGTTAACATGTTAATGCTTAGTGCTTGAAACTTTATGCAGCTATGAATATTTTACCTTAATGTCAGTGACAGTTGAAAGCAGCCATGTCAGAGTTTAACATACACATTTCAGTGTATTTATTTCACTCCTTAAAGGTTAGTAGAAAGATAATATGGGTGATACACGGATTAGACTAGCCTCGCCATGTGTATGCATGCGCTATGAGGGTCCGTTTTAAGAAAAGAAATGCATGGCAGGCTCACTGTATTTTTAATGTTAAGCTTTTTTTTCTGGCCCTGAACTGTATAACCTCCACTGATACTCTGCACAGGTCTTTGTCATGTAAATCCTGTGGTCGGTCTCTCACCCACTCGTCGCCGCCTGTGTAGGCAGACTTCCCTCTCCCAGCAGCACGCTGCCTCTCTCAGGAGCCACCGCAATGTCTGGGAAATCAAACATCTTCCACCAGCTCTCTCACACATTCTTCCTCAAGTTTATCAAGATCATGCAGACACAGATAGCATTGTGATGACATTATTACCCTTCCCTCACAATCCTCTCACTCAACTTTCTGAGCCAGTGGCGAAGACCAGACGTCCCACGCGCACACTCGTTGTGGGTTATTAAACCGTGAGAAAAACTTCAGATATTTCACTGGCACAGAAATCGACACATTTGAGCCTGAGCTGCTTCCAGCACGCTCCGCTCTTATTTAAACACCAAGGCCGAGCCCACATGTCTCCATAATGAGCTCCATCCCGTGTTTGATCCGAAACTTCCCCGGTCGGCTCCTAGCCCCCCTGGCCGCTCTGTGGCACCATTCAGGGGCTGCTCCTTCGGCAATGTGCTGCAACTTCGCAACGCCAAATCCTCGCAGCGCGTCCTGACAGAGACACCCATGAAGTAACAATACAACCCTACCTCATACGAACCGGAGAGGCCACATGAGGTGAACACAGAACACGCAGGGGATATTGCACGTACCGTGCAAGGTGCAAATTCACCCAGTGGCTCTCTCCTATCTTTTATCACAGCCCACTTATGATCTGAGTAACTGCACTTCAGTGTAATATGAGTGGCCCGCTGCCTCACACATGCACTCCAGTGAAAAACATGCAGATGATTAAAGTATGCGCTTTTACCTTGCTTGGATGGACCACAAAACAGCGAAAGAAGACAGAACAGCCAAATTGTACTCTCCACCGCCATGTACAGCCTTTGATTTCCACCAGTGGGGTAGCAGCGTACGTCTATACAACCAGCTATACTGTTACAGCGACATGCATATGTTGGAATCCGCTATTGTCTCCGCCGGTGCGTAAAGGACTCTCTGTGAATGTTTAGGTCTCTTTGGTTAACAGTCCCCTGGCTTTCCTAACAATAAGCTTGCATTAGTCGGGGGAGAGCCGTCGTGTCTCTCGGCGCTTCAACGCCATGTTGCGAACGAATGTTAAGTGTGTGTTAGCTGCTGGTCCACACACACTCACACACACACGCATGGGCGCACACATGCGCGCGCACATACGCGCACACGCACGTTCACCAGACACTGGCTGGCTGATCGTCGCTGGAGTCCTGAAAAGCTGTCGGTGATTCTAACACACCCCTTCTTCCTCCTTTTTGTCCAACTCCATGCTTCCCACTAACACTTGGGAGATTGATTCAAAGCGGATACGGTGGAGAAACACTTGCAATACCAAATGTGTCAAAATAGGTCCCGTATTTCACCCCAGGCGCCCTCTCTCTCTCTCTGTCTGGAATGATGAATTCGTTAGGGATCTCTGCTATTGTGGAGAATGGTCCTGCTAAGCAGTTATCTGTAATGACTGCAAATGTGTTGCCCTGAATGAACCCAATGTTGCAGACACTGGTTATTTTAATTGGCACTCACACATCCAGATACACATGTTCCAGTCAAAACCCTATTTTCAAATCATGCAGAATTTACACTCAATAATTCACATGACATAATCCAGGTATCATTGTGTGTTTTCAGTTTTCTTCAGTGTGTGTGTGTGTGTGTGTGTGTGTGTGTGTGAGAGAGAGAGAGAGCATGCACCTTTGTTTGTACACTTGCACGGACGTGTATGCATGGCTGCATTAATGCCTGAGTAATAAAGCAGGTCTGGGTAAAAAAAAAAAAAAATGGAGAGTAGGAGAGGCACATGTGCTCCCTGTGCAAGAACAGGCAGGAGGAGGAGGAGGTGGGAATGAGGAGGGGTGGTGGTGGGGGGGGGGGGGCGTTGGTGGTGTGCATCCCAATCAATCAACCAGCCAGCCTCCTGCACTGAGTGCTGAGGGACCCACTGACTTTTGCACATAGCGGGAGCCAGCTGGAGCCCAGCCTTCCCAGAGCAGACAAAGACTCGCTTCGTGCAGCACTCACAGCATCACTGATACCAGCAGCATCCCCACATTCACCAGCATACAAAGATAGAGCAGGAGAGGGAGAACCACAAGCTTTAACCAGTCAGATAAGGCTATACAGCAGTCCACATGTATATCAAAGCCGCTGCTTGTGACACTGTAATGAACAAGGCATTGTCCTTAGAAGTTCCAAAGTGCTACATCCACCTTTTGATGTGGCATCTACTCAGAAAGTGCATTTTGGGATGAAAGTAAAGCCCGTAATGGAGTCACCTTGCACTGTTTAAATTTTAGTGAACATTTTTTGCTTTTAAATGCAGCCTCCTTTCGTTTTTTACAAATGGTTTTACAACATGTAGGAGAAGAATGCTTTCTATACTGCCTACACTATGGAGAAGAAAGACAGGCAATCATAAAAGGCAGTAATGAATGAGTTCCCTTTGGTAATAATATCTTGTCCACCCAGATTTCTCGTCTCAGCGTATTCATTTAATGCTGATATGAGATTGATTTGAGCTGATGAAATGAAATGGGATGGATGCATTTCCCAGGTGTCTGATTAAAGCAAATGTCTGGGCCATCGGATTATGTGATTGCATTGGAAAACTAATAGCATTGCTGTGTCCTCTGTGATTGTGGTCAAGCTGTAATTTCCCTGCTTCTCCTTTTTCCCTCCCCAGCTTCCGTAAAAATAATGAACACAAACTACCAGCTGCTCACAAATCACTCCACAAAAGTGCCATGATCTGAATGTACAAGGCATGCAAGAAGTAGATTTACCTCACAAAATGTTGACACCTTGCTATTAGCTTGAGTTTGGGCTGTGTGCCTCTGTTCATCACACTGTGTGTGTGTGTGTGTGTGTGTGTGCTGCTCTATGGTTATTGTAGAAAGGGTTTATAAAGTGTGCAATGCAGGACATGGCTGTACAATGTAAAACTTATGTTGCAGTGCTAACAGCCCAGACAAACAGAAGTGAAATGACTTGTCACCCGTCAGAATCACAAAAGCTGACCCGGTGGAGGGTACGACCCGCTCCGAGCTATGTTCTTAATTATGAGTAACCTGATTCCCTTAAACCACAGTCTCACTGAACATGCCGCAGCAACAGTTGAAACCCCATCTGCAATTTGTTACCCCCCGTCAGACAGTGCTGGCCATGCACTCTGGTTGAAATGTATTGTAAGATTGGCGGCTCTGTGATTGAACATCGGTCTCTCATTACCATATTTAAAGCAGTTACAAGATAAAAACAATGTGCTCTAGGAATTACGGACATCGTTCCAACAGGCACAGCTTTCTTTTCCCAGTCAAAGAAGGAAAGCCAGGATAGCCAAAGATAGAGCTGGCCAAATGCTGAGAAAATTATTTACACATTTGATGCTCTGCCCACTGAGACCAATTAGGATAGTAAACTTGTCTGGCTTGAGTCAAACAGCAAGAGGTTTTAGTAGTTTCTCTTGGCAGTGAACGGCAGGTTGGTGTTGCTGTTTTTTCTTTGAAAACAAATTAGATTCTTCTACTACAGACAATATTATAATTGGTTGGTGAGGAGCTGAGTAAGTCAGCTGTGCTCGAGGAAAACTGTGGTATTTACAGTGAGGGAACATTCTGGATGGGATGAGATTTAACACTTGTTTCCAGTGCACTTACTCTGAATACCAGAGTATTCTTGAACCAACTGAAGAAATGCAATCTGCCACCAGCATGTTTCAGCATCATACAGCCTCCTCTAGGTGACCTGGCTGAGGCTGATCAGACCTCAGCTTGTGTCCAGATGGCTATCTATCTGCCTCCCCCATGGTTTTCCTCTGTTAAGCCAAAACCATCTTGATGCATTCTCTACTGCATCTGTGGTGTTACTGGTGGCTTTTCTCCTTTCTCCCCGGGCTGTAAGAACTGGCCAAGGATCACGCCGCAAAGCTCCCGCATCATCCGACTTTAACCGGGAAGCACCTTGTCCTCCGGCCACCTTGCCTGCATTTACCAACCAGCCCCTCATACGTGCTGAGCTTCTTCCTGAAGTCCTTGGCCAAGCTATTTTCCCAGGGGACTGTTAGCTGCAGCATAATGACTTGCTTGGGGATTCAGACATAAGAGCAACATCCAGTCACAATGTGGTGACTGTGATGTGCTGAGTTGTTTCTCCAGATCCATTAACAGCTTCCAGTCCCTTGCGGAGGCCAGAACTCCTTTAGATGTCCTAACTGAGGGTTGTAGCTGCTCCCTCCCTCTGAGGAGGGTGATGGCCTGTTTTGAAGAGCAGGACTGCTTGCTCATCTCTGGCACTGATGGTTACTGCAGTTACCTTCAGGACTTAATCATTGACACTCTCAGAGTGCTTTGGGGAAACAACTCCGGATATGCTCTAATGTACCACGTTTGGAGCACAGCAGGTGTTGAAGCTTTGCAACATGTGTGGAGATCTGACAGACTGGGAAGCCATACACTGCCTGGGCATGGAACTTGATAGGGTGGGGCTCTGCTTTCCACAGCTCAGACAATATCACCTACCTCTCCCAAACATTGTCTCACCCTGTTCAGGTGCCCTGCTGCCCTATAGCCACCATCCTGCATGACATTTTTCCCTTCTCTTTCTTTCTTTTTGGCAGTGTCAATCTGGAAAGGCTGAAAACACCCCAGTCTTACTCTGCCTTGAGTCCCACCAGCTTGCTTTGGTGCAGCCTTGACTCTGCCTGTTGTATAGCCTCCACTTCCACTTCACCATTTCCTCCCAGTCCTCACCTCAATTTCAGCTCAGGCCACCTTCAGGTCAGTCGACTCCATGTTCTGCAACACCTCCTCCACTTCATGTCACCTTGATTTTCCCTTCCAAGGATCTGAGTGGCAGTTGCAGCTTGTTGTTGTGCTCATAGTGATCTTCAACTACCAAAAGTGGCACATCATGTACCAGGGCCCAGTTATTGTGAAATAATCTTATCAAATCAGGAAAATGGGCTGTTTAAAATGCAAAAGAAAAGGATTCTGAAATTTTATTAGATCAACAAAAAAAGATGTGGATCAAACCTTCAGTATGTGTTGTTCAAAACTTTTCAGTAGGATGTGGATACCTTTGATCCAAAGAAAAATCAGGATTATTACATTACCAGCAGATGAGTGGATTCAGAGTGGATTTCAGGAACAAAAGGCAATAAAACTTTTAAATGGGTCAAATATATGTACATTTATTTATATTTTACACTTGACGTGTTTACCAGTTGCAGCAATGATGTACATAAAGTAGACATTAGGCAACCTATCAAGCCTTTCAGTACAGCAAAGTAAAAATTAAATAAATCTGTCAATGTCCAACAATGATAATAATAATAGTATTAATAATGATGATGATAATACTAATAATGGTTTTAACTTTAATTCACCACTTTATGTTAATTACAATGGCACTTCTGAAAGTAGCTTAAAACAATTGTACCTACCATGCGAGCCCGATCTCACTCCGAAGTTGGTGGAATCTGGTGCTTGGGTAGTGACTTGCTGCGTCAGAAACCAACAAAAAAAGTTGTCCTTTAATGTTGGCATGATACATGGCCGGTTGCCATTATAGTTTAACGACGGCCAGCTGCATCAGGGGGAAGCGCGGAGGTACAAGGACAAAAGTCCGACTGGGGCAGGCAGGAGGGGTGGCGGATGGGTCCAACAAACACTGACTTTCACTTTTGACAAGGGAAAAGGTCAATTCTCAGTGTTGTGCCGATGTAATGCATTTATTTTGAAAGAGACTGTATGTAAATGGTAAATTTCCTGCGAAAACAGAAGCGTATTTTGAAAGAAGACAATGTATGTAACAGGCAGAACTTGGCACGGCATCCCAGAATGTCAACGCACCCAGGGTACCTTGCATGTCGTATGTTGACGTTGAAAGTCCATGACCAAACGTCAATATGTGACAAGTTTGGAGTGAAAATGTGTTGACCATGCTTTCTATCTCTTCAAATAAAATTCCACAATATCACTTTTTTATTTACTTTTATTTTAATCAGAAGTGATTTTATTCAATTAAAATCACACGCCCTCCTGCACTCTCAAGTCTGCTGATG